ACAAAAATACTAAAAAAGATCTTTATATAAAGAAAAATAAATTTTTAATTGTTATTTATATAAATTGTTAAATTTTTATTTAAAATTTTTATATAAAAATAAAAAATTGAATTAAGTTAACTAAAAAAATAAATTAGCAAATATAATATCATATATAATCCTTTAAATAAAAATAATTAATCACAAAATATTAGTCATGTTTTACGTAAATATTGTATTTAAAACATTTATACCAAACAATTCCCCTTTTAATTTTGCCTACATGTTGGTCTTGCATGTCTGCAGAAGAAAGTGACCCATTATCTGTGTCAAAATTTAAAATATCGAACAGTGTCAGAACCGTTCCCTTACAAATTTGTGCAAGTTGCACAAACCTACAGAATTCGGACAAAAGACTCTACGCAGTCCCTGTTTCTGGTGTGTTTGGTGACCTTTCAATGGCTCCCTTAATTTTATGCTTGGAATTCCTCGAGTAATGGGAAGCGCACGTTACAAAACGACGAAGAGAAACCGACTGGGCTCAGAAGAGATACGATAATGCTTAGTTTAGAAACCAGTTGATTTGGGAGAAGGGATATTATGGGAAAATCATCAGACTCCTTACTGGCCTGTCAGAAGTTAATTACAAGCTGAATGGATGTTGTTGACTCCTATTGGCTCTTATGCCGACAGTGTATCAACCGAGCTAATGAATCGAGATTGGCATTCTGAACTGTCTAGACTAGAGCTTCTCAACCTTTCAGTGCTCACGGCACTACCTTATGTGCCAAAAACGAATTCAAAACCAATGATCTTGAATTTTATTTGAATCATGTTGGGTTGTTATTGCAGATTAATGAAAATGAATTGGGGATTAAATTCTATATTCTGTCAAAAAATTTTTCTGGACAGTGTCAATATTAATGGGGTGGCCTCTGCAGTTTTAGATATTCATGACTGGTTACTTTACACAAACTCTGAATTTCCCTTTGTTTGTGTGCGTGTGTATGTTTCTTTGTTTTTCTCTCTTCCTTAGAC